TCACAGACACATGTTGGCCCTGGGAAGAAATGAGGGTCACTGCAAGAAAGAGGACCGGGTATGCGGAGGAGAATTGTCAGCATCGATGATTTTTTTTTTGTTGTTGTTTGTTTTGTTTTGCTTTGTTTTTTTTTTGTTTTTTTTGTTTTTTTTTTTTGTTTTTTTACTTCGTGCGCCACTCCCCACAATTCCACCGTTTGTTCCGTAATCTCTTGCACACGTTGTTTTGCAGACCAGGGTGGAAATTTGATTCTGACATTTTTCTTTCTTTCTCCGTAGATAATTTTGGTTGATAGATATGGAATAAAGGAAAAGGAAATAAAAAAAAATGAAAAAAATATACTTGGAGATAAAAAGGATAGATTGATAGGAAAAGAAAAGTAGAGAAAGAAAAAAAAAGACAGAAACGGAGGAATGTAGAAAAAATGGAGGAAAAAGTTTAAAAAAAAAACATACGGACTTTCATATACGAAGTACCATCCAACAGTTAGGGAAACTTAATGCGCGAAATGGCCTCTTTAAAGAAAGATAAAAGAGAAAAATTAGGTGCTTTTATATCTTGGTGGAGTGATTTCGAGTGATGTGTCAATTGACCGATGAGACATAGAAAACACTGGGGTGAGGGTGTGGGAGTTAACTGTTGACCAGATTTAGCAATCTGTTCATATTCCCGGAAACAGGCACCGAAAGCGTCGAAAAAATTCTCTAAAAATTCTTGATGCACAACTAACAGGTGTCTTCCACTCCAGACCTGGCACGAAAGAAGCAAATATTAGCGTATCAAAAATGAATAACAGGAATTCTTTTTTCTGACGAGTGGAACGACTAAAGTATTTCTCAAGCAAACAACGCATGCGCACAAACATGCGCATATGCACAATCCTTCACGGGCGGGCTGATATACACATGTGTAGTCACACGCACCCATGAACATGAACGCACAAGCTCAAGTATGCACACACACACACACACACACACACACACACACACACACACACACACACACACACACACACAAACGCACATTCATACACACGTACACATACACAAACGCACAAGGACACGACACATATATGTTCACGCACATACACGCGCAATCAAGCAGATACGCACTTACGCTCACACATGTTGGCATACATAAACGGGTGAAGAAGGATACACGCACATACATACCCTCGAGCACACACACACACTCACCATCAGACACATATGCAATCACACATACACATAGGAACGCTCACACACGCAGGTACACATACAGACACACTTAAACGAACTCAAGCACACACGCACGAGAGCGCACGTACTCACATGCACATGTGTTTATATACACGCACGCACATGCGCACGTACACACACAAACACATTCACATTCGCACTTACACACGCGCGCGCACACACACACATACACACACACGCACATACACTTGACGTAAAAGAAAGAAAAATTAATGGGGCAAATCTGAAAACGGCTGCAACTCTGGTCTTCTGAAAGTGAAGACCATAAATTTGCTGATAGTGTCAGAAAAAAAAGCCCGTTTTTTCTGTTTCGCCTCCGCCTTGATAAGTTCATTGACTAATCGTCAAAGATTCTTTTGTTATCAGATAAATGAGATCGTCTTTCGCGTTAGGGATTCACGCAAAAACGCAGTTACCACCAGCCATGACACAACAAAACGCCTACACCGAATGACCAGCGTCCGAAAGATACCACACACGCATGCGCGCACACACACATACCCGAACTCGCCCCTCTCTCTCTCTCTCTCTGTCTTAATCTGTTTATATTTTTTCTTTTTCTGTCTTACTCTCTTTCTGTCTTGTTCTTTTTCTCTTATCCTCTCTGTGTGTTATTCTCTTTCTCTGTCTATTCATGTCTTTGTTTTATCCTCTTGATCTCTCTTAGTCTCTTTCTCTATTACTCCTTTGTTCTCTCTCTTATTCTCCCGCGCTTAGTTTTTTGCTTTCTCTTTAAACCTTAATCTATCTAATTTCTGCTCTTTTGTTCTTTTTATTCTCCTTTTCTTTGTATTCAACTTCTTTTATTTCCTCTTTTTTCATTATCTTTCTATAGATTTTATTTTCATTCATTATTTTCTCTGATTTCGTGCGGAAACTAAATAGAAGGTGACCCTCATGTGATCTTTACATATAAAGACCCAGTCCCCACACCGATGCACACACCTCGGATGATGTCAGAGCGACAGAGACGCGTAAGAAACAACGTGTGGGTTTTGTCATGAAGATACATTTCCAAGTTTAAACCCCCGGGTAGAGTTAAAATAGAACAATGATCTCTGTTAGATTTAAGGCGAAAACCCAAGGTAGGATAAAAGAAGAAGTGTAAGGATGAACAACCAACCCTCTTCGATTTTCCTCCACATACCTTTCAACTGGCCAAGATCAATCACCTTTAAGTTGTCCTTCAGACATTGTGACTGTCAAAATCGGTCAAAATCATCCATTGTAGACCAAATGCTGAGTTTTGTGACACCTCTTTAAATCAAGAATAAATATAAGACAGAAGATAAGATAAGATAAGATAAGATAAGATAAATCAAGAATAAAGATAAGACAAAGTTCTACAAACTTAGAAAAAAGTAAGACCTATATAAGATCATCCTCTTTGCTATGTTGCTATGGAACCTCGTCAAAGTCTTGAGGACTTTTTGATTCCTACATTCTTATGAAAATTTTCAATTCGGCACTGGAGATTTTTCAAGTAGAGTGAACTTCACAGGGCAATTAAAGGGTTCGACTTGCTGTTTATGGATATGGTTAAAGGGGTGAAGAGATAAGTTTCGAGCTTATTATAACATACAAGTCTTCTTCGTGTATTTAAAACAATAGAAAAAAGTGAGGTTTCCGCATGAACTAAACTGATCGGTATATATATATATATATATATATATATATATATATATATATATATATATATATATATATGTCGGGGGAGGGGAGCCCCGTGTCACAATTGTAGAAAACTTCTAAAAGATTTAAGTACTGAAAATTCATCACACAGAAAGCAACTCAATTCTTTGAATAAGCAGTGAAATTTATTTACTGAAAAAAAAAAATTGAACAAAGCAACTATAAACAATTTTTTTATATCCTCTGCCAACCGCAATGATGGAGAAAGCATTACCTCGAACCATCGCCAGTGAGACACGCTGCAAGAGCCACTCCGTTTCGCGAGGCTCGTCCCTTAATCCGAGACGCAATCGCGCCAATCCTCCGAGGGAACGCCATCGAACGAGGGCCAATAACCCCTGAAGTCTCCACTGCCACAAGAGTAAAAAAAAATCTATCAGCAAGAGAAGAATATTTAACTATTTCTTTTTATCTCTGCGACCCGGGCGACGGACCCCGGCTCAACCGCGGACCTGATCAAATTACAGGCCGAAAATGTATCTGCACAGGTCGCATCCCAAATCAACGACTTCCCCATTTTAAAAGGGAAAATGGTAATGCCATCCGGCCGCTTTCCATCACCACGGTCGAGGCTTACGGGTTCGATTTGGGAAGGGAAACCAGCTGCATTCAAACCTCTTCTGATGATGTCGTTTATTGCTGCATGCCGTGGAAAGCGGCCGGCACTGCGACGACAGGAGAGAGGATGAAAACCAAACTCATCGATGGAAGCTCCACATCTGCATCTGTGACGCTCACATATTTTGAGTCCAAGACGGATCGCGACTCCGACCCGAGTGCACTCATCATCCAGAAGGGTACCGGGAGATGAAGAGGGCACTGCTTTGAGCCAGGCGCCACTACTTGGTTGTGAAGCAGATAGTAGACAGGCGAGGCGATGCTGATCCAGAGAGAGCCTCAAATTAGTAAAATTGGCCTCGCATTTTATTTTATCCCAACTTTTTTGTTTTGATGTGTCTAGTGGGATAGAAAGTAATTCTTGGGCCCAGACGCTGCAAGCTTGTTCGAAAGAACTACCCGAGAAGCACTGAGACGATCCACCGAGTATCTCATCAATTAATTCCCGACTGGACGAAAGTGAAGAAAGATATGCTGGCAGGGCCAAATCTACCGCTGATCGAAGGTCCAGGCCTCCGAAACTCAAAGGGAGCTTTGCCTGCCTCCAGCCTGTGTCGTCGTAATTAACGTTTCAACTTAGCTCCGCGTATCTCTTAATTGTGAGATCTATCTCATTTAAGAAATCCTGTTCGAGGTAGCAAGGGGCACTTCGGAGAGTGTAGAGAAAACTCGGCAGCGAAAAACTGTTCTTCAAGAGGAAGAGGGCTGGATGTGCATCAATTAATTGCAATTTCTCAGTCATTCTTGTTAGAATGATATTCTTAGTATCCAAACACTCTCGAATGGCCATTGGAAAGACTGGAGAACCAAGAATGTGTAATTCCTCCTTAGGTGATATTTTTATATCTTCAAGGATGAGTCTGATATCCCGGATAGCATTCTCGAAATCATCTGCAGTATAATTCAAGTTTATTATCTCAGACTTGAACGAGTTAATTTCAAGTCCAAGCAGAGATAAAGCAGGAATAACTCGTCGGAGGTCAGCAGATACGGGCTCGATGGATCCTCCCAACGTTGTATCGTCAAGATACCATATATTGAAAGGAGAGGCGATAGAACGAGCTACCCCGTCAACAGCCATCGCAAATAGTAGCGGACCAAGTAGATCACCTTGATGGATTCCAGTAGCAGAAGAGACAATATTATCGGAGGCGATCAACATACTTGGATTGCTATATGAAAGATGAGCCAGTTTAAATATGAAAGGAGTTCGTTGATGCCAAACTTCCAGGGCATGATCCCTTCTGATGCTATTGAAAGCGTTTTTCATATCCAATTTTAATAAGATACGGGGGAAAGTAGATGATGTTTTCTCGAAAATTGATCTTGTGGCATGAACCGCGGCTTCACATCCGCCTTGTATGCCTACCCCGAGCTGGACAGGTCGCAATTCATGCGCTATCTCCTTCACAACTCTACAAGCAATTTTTGCCGTGAGACGACGAAAAATGTTACAAACAGCGATAGGGCGGATTTTTTAAGCCGTTAAGTTGGCTGAAAATATTAAGTCGGAGAAGGGTATTAAAAAGAGCTGTTATGGATGTTTTCAAATGTTCACCAGCTTCGGCAGTGTGGGCAGAAATTAAGTCCTTGATGTGACCAGGTTGAAGGTCGTCCACGCCTCCACTGCTGCTTCCCGAGAAAGATTTCAGAACGGCAACCATTGCTTCCTTTGAGATTTCAATATTTGAATCATTGTTTTCCATCTGAACAAATCTGACATCTGATGGTGACGCAGGATGTTTCCGACGGAGAGCTGTGACAACTTCTGGTGTAGTAGCTAGTATAGTATAGAATGCGGCCAATACTCTAACTGCAGCTGAGGCATCACCCTCAGTCAACTTAGCATCGGCTGCCGCGATTCTAACAGATTTAGGGATTTTTAAAGGCACCTTCCGGAATTGCCTAAGGAGTGAGGTTGCCCTCAAAACTTCACTGGCATCTCTTTGGGTTGGTTCATTATGTTGATGGATCACACTATCTTGTAGAGCCGAGAGAGACAGACAATGTGAACAACTCCAAACAACCAGAGACACTGAAGCATTTCTAGTCAATCCTACGCAAGATAAATGAAAAGACCGTTGACAATTTGAACAATGTCTGATTCTTTTACGCTTATTAATGCTGCCACAAGTAAAGCAACGATCACATTCCAGCAAAGAAGAAGGAAGAGACATTTTTTCTTCCCTCTTTTTTCCTCAAATTAATGTAAGACTTTTTTTTCTGTTAATTCTTGTAATCTCAGTTTGACATTAATTTCATTTTTTCCTTTGAAATCAAATCTTCGAAAACATACTGTCTTGAATTACAAATCCTTTACAATAATGTTTAAAGTTTCCAGCTATTAATTCAATAATGATTATTCCATTTACTATTCAAATTCGTAATTACTTTACTTAATGCATAATCCGACATTTTTACATTCTTAAAAATCCGTTAATATCTTAGAATGAAATTTTAGAGGTTCAACTTCAAACTAAGCCCAACAATATTTTTCTTCCTTAAAATGAATATTTAAAAATATCTATTAGCCAATAAGCTTGCGATTAAAAATCTAAAGTTTAGATCCATCTGGAGCCTACCTATCTATTATAAATATGATTAATTCTAGTCTGCTTATCAGTCTTTTAGTTAACTTGACCAGGGTGTTCGACCGTTTGTCATACAAACGAAACTGAAATTATCACCATTAATTACTTACATCTTTCGTTTATTTATTTCGAGTATTTAATATGAGAAAGAATACGTTTAACGATGACATTCCGCGAACTTGCTTACTTACGTAAACAGTGGCAACATAACTTACTTTCCTTCTTCCAATACAATCTACAATTACAATTTATACAAACAGTGCAGACAACGTAAATTTGTGACATAGACCTCCGCACACATGCAACAGTGGCGCCCAGCTCATAAAATCTACAACTAGAATCAATACACACTAGGCCTGTCGCATAAATACACTAGAGCTGACACATACATCTGTACACATATAAACGCATTAATCGTTTAACCTATACTAACGTAATTGATTTAGTTATACCGTTGAAAAAGGATACACAAAACATTTCGTGTAAAGTTGTTCACAAAGTATTTTTGTAATTTACTTCCTTCAGTTTGAAAGGAATATAATACTCCAATAGATAAAAATTATAAAAATTTGTAGATCCGTGTTAAGTTTAATTTAATTCCTTGCTTAAATCTTTCTCTCTCTTTCTCTCTCTTTCTCTCTCTCTCTCTCTCACACACACACACACATACATATGTGTATATATATATATATATATATATATATATATATATATATATATACTGGGTGTCCCAAAAGATTGACATCATTTTGTAGTCTAATAGCATAGGCAATTCTCTTTCAAATGATCGCAAATTTTAACAAAATGTGTAAAAAAAAAAAAAAATCAAAGTTGACTGCGGACGTATTTCAATGAGAATCTAACAGGAAGATGGATTGCCAGTGATAATGACAATGTGCTGTTGAAATAGCCAACCACGTTCACCTGACTTGACACCTTGTGATATTTTTTCGTATGGGGCTTATGCGAAAGGACAGGTCTATATCTTCCCGTCTCCCTACAAGCCTAGTGGAACTTAAGAAGAAAATCACTGTGGTCCTGGAGAATGTTACGCTGGACTACCGACTTGATTTATGTCGTATCACAAGTGGTGCGCATATTGTGAAACTTTGTGAAGCTGGTTATAAAATCGCCATCCCTTTGAATATCTTATTCAAATATTGATAAATAAATCTTTTAATGTTCAGCCTGAAGCCTATTTAATATCGTTTCCTTAGGACATGGAGTTACACACATATTAACATTTTAAATGAGGTCAGTTTTGGGGACACTTTATATATATATATATATATATATATATATATATATATATATATATATATATTACGATAAACGTGCAATCAATTTACAAATACATGAATTATTCACACAAAAACTAATGCAAAGGTTAATGATTTAAATGGCGAGACATCCATCATCGCAAACAATTCAAATAATATACAAAAACCTCCGTATCCGTTATGAATGAAATGATCCTTGTTCATATAAATTTCTGTCGTATTAGTTCTTATTTTTACTACAAGCTTTCGTCTGTTCCTATAGACATCTTCAGGTATAGAATAGATGTTGTTCTTGTTTTTTCTCTTAGTAATAAGAGGACAACGAAAATATATGTATTGTTGTATCCGAAAATGCTATTGAAAATGAGTTACTGTTTTTGGAGCGCGCAATATATATATAGATGTGTGTGTGTGTGTGTGTGTGTGTGTGTGTGTTTGTGTGTGACAAAGGGCGAAACGCGTCACAAGTAAACTTTCCCACTTTGTCTTACAATTTCCACTATACAGTTCTTGATATATATATCGTTATCTCATTCACACACACACACACACACACACACACATATATATATATATATATATATATCAAAATACATCTATTGGATGCTTTGGTACACATCATCAGTGATGTTTCTAGCCGAGGTCCAGTAGGGATTTTCGGGTCATTCAACATCATACCCACTCTCCATGGTGACGCAGCTGATATTAAACAGGTATCGACTTGTAAACTTCCGTTAGCTACAATTTTTTCCATCTACCTAGCTACACACTTCGACTTCCTTGAAAATTTATAGCCCATCCATTCCATATATATATATATATATATATATATATATATAGTGAGGCTGCGTTGAGTGAGCTTATGTTTCGTGTCACAGTTGCATTCACAATTTTAGATTCCTCACACCTCCTGCAAGTTGTTTTTTTGGGAAAAACAATGCGCTTGTCCCTATTAAGGTACGTCTCCATACACACACACACACACAAAAATTAAATAAATAAATAAAAAAATCGCATCTTGCACCTTCTGGCTTTTCCGAAAGCTAAGACTGCTGTTGAAACATCATAGACGCTGTTAAGGAGGCATCTGATGATGACCCCAAATGAAGAACTGGCGGACTCTTTCGAAAAGTGGTAACGATGCTGAGATAAGTGTTTGAGGTCACAAGAGAAGTATTTTGAAATGTATGTGTGGGTGGGGTGGGGGTGGCAAATGTGCCAATGCCCTTGGTAGGCTATTTGTCATTAATAATGAAGAGTTGGATACTTTTTCAGACAGATGTAGAATTTCGGAATTCTCACCTTGGCAATGAACTTCATCGCCAAAATCGTCCCAAAAAGCCGGGGAAATGCAGTTGAACATCCCATCACACCTGAGAGACTTGTCTAAGCATCTGCGACTCTGGCGACACATGAACCTTTGGGGACCAGGTGACGTACAGTCTGTCAAAAAATAAATGCATTTCATTAGGTTGTGTCATAAGTAATTTCCGTTTTGTAAAACCAATTGTAATGCCGAAAGTATCATTCAAATTCCTTATAATACGAGACAATTAAAAATAAATTTAGAGTACGCTAACTTACCTTAGTTTTGATACGCCAATTGCAACATGGATTAAAGAAAGAATATTGTTCCCATCCATAGCAACACAAAACAGCATACAGCAAGAATAACTCAGGAAAATGTTTTTTGAACTCTGTTGATCTGTTCTAAGCCACCCACCATATTCACCTGACCTTGCATCAACCGATTATTACCTTTATTCGATCGCTGCAAAATACTTTGATGGGTAAATCTTTCTCTAATGAAAACCAAATTCAACAGTTCGTCGAAATGTATTTCACGTCAAAACCTGCGCAATTTTATTCAAAAGGTATCGAAGATCTGCACTGATTTGTGGCAACAAGTCATTGCAAATAATCGTAAATATATCATTGAATAAGATGTACCTTTTTGTACCTCTTGTCCACGTGTCTCACTCCAGCCGATCAAACTTTCCCCCACCATCACCATGCGTCTCAGTCGCGACTCTGGCACCACCGAATATAGTTGGGTGTAGAAAGCGAATGTTTCGGCACTCTAACCGAATCCCCGCTCGGATCGCACTAAACTAAAATGTGCATACATGCAGCTGGGGACCGCTTGTGAATCCAAATTCCCACTGAAACTGAATATACACGTCTAAAATGAATACGACCTCCGTGCGTGTTCGGGACTCGCCGTTGGAACCGTGATTGGTTAGCACTTACTGACTCAATTTCATCCGACCGTCGAGCTTTGTCAGGATGCAGCAAATTCGTTTGACGGAACCGGCTCAACCGATCTCAGCTGAATACCGCAACAAGTAAGTAAACTTCTACTAAAATTAAGCACGATCAATCAAAACTGTCTTCAGAAAGAACATTGCATGAACTGCTTATTGATTGGACAGCAATTTTCTGATTAGCTGAAAAGACGTATTTAGTTTCTGATTAGAAAACATGAATGACGCAATTCAAATTCTTTTGAGCTGCGATATTTCTATTGCACAGAACTCAATTTTAAGGAGGTTTTTACGTCCCCATCACGTTGAAACACCAGTTCTCCAACGATCACCGACGTTAAGCAACGTCGACTCTGGTCAGTACCTAGATAGATAACCGCTAGGGAATACCCGGTGCTGTTAGCTTGGATGTGCAGTTGATGTAATGGGCAACGGCTCGAAATTGGAAACCGGAGAGCCGAGTTCCAATTCCAGTCGGGTTTGTTATATTCACTTACACACAAATATGCTGGAGAAAGGCATGAATCCACCATTTCTCTATCAGCTCTGGGTTAATTAGTAAGACTTATATCGGTAAATCATTATTATCTTAAAAAAAAGAAAACAAATTTCTTCAATCTAAAAATGTTTTCTGGCTTTAAATAACCTGCAAAAGTTGATCGGCTGGGGTGAGACGTGGACAAGAGGTGATCACGTGGTCATGTTGCACATCCCATTTTGGGCTACTTTGTAAGCCAGTAGGAGCACGTCCCCACTGATTTTCATTATTACCGGAGTTTTATTTCATTTTATAATTAATTGTTGTAGGTTACTGAATAGAATAATCAAACGAAGGTTGGTAACGAATGATAATACTTAGGACACGAACAACACATATAAGATTCGCCAGCGGCGCGTAGTAGTAGTAGTAGTAGTCAACTGCTAGAAGTGAGTCAAGTGAATCCCACAATGAATCTCCAACTGCAGGATATCTACCAACCGCCCCACGCGGTCAGATTTGACACAAGTCCGAATTTAATGTGGGGTATCCGAGACCATAGGT